ATCGTCTCTTGTTTTTGATAAAAATATTTTTTCTTTGTGTTTTTAAATATATTCAATTAGGTATATTAACAGAATTACTTTCTGCATTTCGATTATGTCTTTAGGATAATAATACACATGTTACACATTTACAATCATAGGAATTGAATTATTAGAAGATTCTACTCAACATAGTACAAGTTCTTATATTCTTGCTAAAGTAGACAAATGAAACTTATAATTACAATAAACTGTTTATGTGTATAAAATAGGTTGCTTTAGCTCAAATTGTGCGTAATATTGATTTTCTTGAATACTAATTTATCTTGAACAACAACAATAACAGATAAAAAAAAACAGTAAATTAAAACTAATCATATATAGAAGAAAAAAACAATATCTTGGTTTTTTTTGTTTTACTTTTATTTTTAGAATCGATCATGACTTGATCATTGTATTGACATTATCTTTCTATTTCTTACTGATAATGATACAAGTGTTCGTCCATCAACTACTTTAACTTTTGCTAAGTATGTCAATTGTAGAGATATAAGTTAACTAGGTAGTTTTATTTTCGAAGTTGAATAATGCATCAGTCGATTTTATTGTATTAAGTTAGTTACTAGCTACTTTTTGATTTTAAGGTTTGTTGATCACAATTCTTTTTTTTAGTATATCAATGGTCAATACATTATTTACCTAAATGAATCAATTCATCCTGTCAATGGATGCATAAAATTCATGATTCATTACAACAAACAAATACTTCTGTAATTATATTCAATGATGGAGTGCAATGTGAAACAATATCATGCTTACCAGCATTAATATTTGATTGTTTAGCTCAAACATTCACTCGAATATAAATTGTTTATTATTTTTGTCTTTTATATAAGTTGAATGTTCAGAAGGTATTTATACTCTTTCAAATGTTTTAGAATCAATAACAATTCGATCATTTTTTTTTCATAATCAATATGATGAACTTTGTTTAGTTATACATCTATTTATATGAAATGATCTTAATAATTTACAATTATTACTCGATAATAATAATTTCATTTTTTGAAGATTTATCAAATCTTAACAAATGAAAAAATGTTTTTAAAGTAGCACAAATGATTCAAGTTATTCAAAAACTGAATTATTTTATTAATGTTCTTGAACTATTGCAAAAAACTTCACAATCATCATTTTTCTTTTGGGCAGAAGATCATTTTCTATAATTGATATTTCAACTTTCGTAGAAGAAAGGAGTTCTAAAGTTTTAGATTTGAAGAATGTATTGGATCATGTCTTGTCTGCATGAATTCATTTGTTTTTTTGGTTTTAGAGAATGATAAAGATTCATCAATAATATCAAACACAAATAAAGATATAAAAGTTAATTTTGAACGATTACTTCCAACAACATTATTTTCTATAAAATCAGTAGTAAGTCTTATTTCTACACAAGGTTTATTAAAAAATTTGGAAGAAACACTTAATTATTTTAAATCAACGTTCAATGTACAAAAGAGGTAAAACTTCTTTTAAATAGTACATATTAGTTAGAAAATCTCAGTTATTAATCTTCTTCTACTAATCGGTTGAGCTAAAACCTTTAGGATGTTGTAATGGGTCTGAACCAGAGACTGGCTGGCAGGGCAAAAACATTTATCCTATACAAAAAAAATTAAAAAAAAGGGCTAATTTCAGTTTAGTTTTTCTGATTAAACAATCGATTAAAATGCGAATGTTTTTAGTCGATTTTAATCTAATTATTTCATCTTCAATTCATTTTGATTGTCATTTCACAATACTTTTGAATGCATAAAACAATACGGGAAAATATGCATTGCTTAGTATCAATGTCTTCTTTCCAAGTAATAATTCTTCGATCGATGGGATCTATGCCAATTATCTGTGGCAGATTTGTATATACATACATCTCATTGTTATAAATGACCGGTAATGGAGTTAACCGATAAATTGAATATGTTGATGGAGTATCGGATTGAATACGCAGGAATAAGGTGGAGATAACTATGCACGGTTGCGGTGGTGATGAATTTTGTTGAACCAATGAGCAGTAGCGGAGTGCAAAAATGGATTGTCCTACAACATACTGAGAGAAAGTATCGAGTGATTCATGAACATTAGAAACAGTGTAGTAGCTATCAATAGTAGAAAACGCTCCTACTAAAAATATTTTCAAATCATTATTAGATAAAAATTCTAAGCCAACTTTATTGATATTGGTACTTATTTGTTTGAGAAATTTTTCAATTGAATCTGAGCGTACACGAGAAATCGTAGGATTATTTTCAATGATGTTGGCTGAAGTTGTTGTGGTGAATGTGTCGATGACAGTCTTATTATAGAAAAATTTATTATTAACAAAATGGATGATTGATTTGGTATGTCTAATAATGTTTTCTGGATGATGTTCTGCGAGAACTCGAATGATGTCTTTTCCTATTAGTCTCGATACACTTTCACTGTTGTATGATGTGAATCTATGAATGGTGTTATGAGATGACACCATAGTAGTGAGAAGTGCCATATTTTTATCTATAGGTGCAGATGCATATTGGCATACATTTGTTTGTGGCGATGAAATACAAAACTTAGACAAAGGTATGAATGTATGTATGACTTCCTCGACAAGGTTGGGCGAATATACGCCTAACCGTTGAAGAGTATAGCCTTTATTAATGTCAACTATAATATCATTCTTTGACCAGTCTCGCATTGATGTAAGCAGAACAGTTCCTATTGAATTGATTATAAAGTATAAGAGACACAGTCTTTTAGCATGAACCATCTTGATTTAATATGCTTTAATGTAAATATTGACGATAAAAATGTATGCAAAACAATCTAAGAAGTATTCCAAGATGGAAGTGATTTTCTCCTTTTTTAACTGTCGCTTATATATGAACGATACATATTTTTAAAAGAAAGAGAATCAGATAAAAAGATGAAAGTGATTGGTGTACACAGAACGAAAAAAATATATATGACAATAATATCCAATCAGTATTTATCTTTAGATTTCATTAAAAGCGTGAAGTTTATCTTTATGAACTAAGCATATATCTTTTTTTTCATCGTAAATCGCTGATAGAAAGTATGTAAAGAGATACTATCGATGATATTCATCAAGCCGATCGTTACGATTAAATTTTCCAATTAGAAAATTATTCATTCGTATATCAGTTACCGGCATATACATTCATTTTCTTGCAATGTTTATGTTGCTTGTGTGCTTTACATAGTATCTCAATTCAATCCATTTAAGTAATAAGACAACAATACTATTCACAAGATTTATTATAAAAAAATATACAAATAAATAAGGACAAGAAAAAAAACATGTACAATTAATTACAAGAGAAGGAAGGAAAAAAAGACAACTCAGGCGATGGCATAAATGGTGGTGGTCGACTGATGAGTGAGCTGATTGAGAGATATTTCATTTTCTAGAATTAAAACAAAAGTTATCATACTGTAAAAAAGATATCGGTAACTTACGTCGAACTGCTTGCCGACGACGTTTATATTCATCAAGTGATTTACAAAAACACCACGCACCCTGAAAAAAAAAGAATGTATATTAATTGAATGAACAGTTACATATCTCTTGATTCTCACCTTGCAATGACCATTATTTACGTAATCCCAGGTCGAACAAGCACGGTCGTAAACGACCGTATACGGAGAAATACGACGATTTACATGTGATCGTATTACGATCTCCATTTTGCTCCGTTTTTCTCCATATATGGTCGTATACGACCGTATACGGTTACGGAGATATACGATCGTAATACGATCACATGTATTACGGCAAAACACGGTCGTATACGATCGTTTACGAACTCCGTAACGTTCGACCTGGGAACATTTTTTAAAAAACTAACTATGATGGAGCAAACCGTGACAATTAAAATAATTAATGGAGGAAGACGTATCTTGATTTTTTCGGTGGTGGAGTTGATATTATCTGCAATTTTTTTGATTTGTTCCATTTCATTAGTAGTGGTGGTGCTTGTTTTAAGATAATACGTCTTATTGATCAAATCAACAAGGCTATCATATTCCTAGATGCAAGCATCAATAAATTAATTCGTTCTGGACTTATCTGAGTTACTTACTGGAGCAGAGTTATGAACGAGAAGAAGAAAAATGACGATGGAACAGAGCATGTTGAATACAGTAAAAGATGAATGATAATGTTCCTTATTTTCATCCTATATATATAGGTAGACATGTACATGTTTGTTGTTCAAATTGTGTAATTAATTTACATATATTGTTCTTTCTATGTTATGTTATTTCGTTATTACTATCAAATAGTTCAAAGCATGTGCAAAGAGGATACTAACATTGGTTGTTTATCTTTTCATCTTTCATGTCCATCAATTAACTCTTTTTTTTCTGCTCTGTCCGTTCAATATGTATAGTTGTTTCTCTTCTTTCGCTTCCGTTCTTTTTTCTGTTCTGTTCGTTCAATACACACATTTTTTTTCTTCTATCACTTCCATTCTTTTTTCTTTCGTATTGTGCTTCATCAGGCGAGAAGTTATGTGTGAAAAAAAGAGAAACGACAAATATATGTATATATTGTGAGGTGTCATCTTGACAGTTGTATTTGACATCTCTTGTTTATTGATATGTACAGATATAGGTTGAATTATTTTTACAAAAAAAAATGTTTTCACAAAATCACGGAAGAAATACAAAAAAAAAAGACTAAAATTCATAAATTTCACTGTAAATAGCTATTTCAACACGGTCTGTTGAAGAGCGAGTATATCGAACACCTTGTTGATCGTCGTAAATGTACAAATCTTTGTCGGGACCAATTAGAGTGGCGGTGAAGTGTCCGTCTCGATGATTGATAACGGCGCGCAGCTTGTATCTATCACAGAAAAGAAACAATTAGAAAAACAAAAAAGAGCAATCAAGAGCATTAGTATGTATTTTGAGTTCAAGTGTATATAAGAAGATAGTCGTTTTAAAATGCTTACTAGATGTCATTGACTAAAAGATATATGAAAAATGAAAAGTATTTTCAATACATACTTAATAGAACTGATTCTGATGGTGTCTTTAAGATCACGAAGTCGGACTTCATTTGGTTCATAGCCTTCATCAATTCTTCTTGAAAATGATTTAATACTTACAATAATTATGGGAGGATGGCCATAATCAAATATAGCTGATGTTTGAATATTTCTAGCATTACATACCCAGCCACGTCTTGATAGAAGAAAACAATTAACACTTTCAAGAGAAGAGAGTCAACATACTCGTATTCATTTATGTTTGTTTCACAACTGAAGAGTGGCACGCGACCATCTTTGTATTTCTTTTGAAGTGCTTCAGCTTCATTCATTTCTTCTCGGCGTTTCACCATTATTGGACACACACCCTCAGTTTCAATCTCAAATTTGTCAATGCACTCGTCGGCTGAACTAGAAGAACATTGATTATGAAAGAGATTTTATTGAAAAATTTATGCTTACAAAATATCCAATTCAGTTGATGTGCACTTGCGTTCCTTTTTGGGACAATCAGACCGTGAACATAAGATTTCATTTGAGTGTCGTTGTTGACTTTTAAGAAAAGAAAATACGAGTTCATCAACAGAACCGAACAGGTCTTTGGGTTTTTGATCAGTCGCTTTCAAAATTTCGAATTTAAGTAGCCAGTAAATACGTGCAGCGTCCCATCCTTCTTTTTCTACGATATTGAAAGTTTCCACTAGTGTTGCATAAAGTGACAACTCTGACGCTTCTTTAAACTCAGAGGAGATAGACACATCTGTCACATATATGAAGTAGATAGCAAACAGAGCCGAATCGATGGCACATGTGTTTTTCAAAGAATATGTGTGACCTTGAAAAAAAAAAGAATACGCATAGATTTGATTGTGAATGATGTATTCATCCTTTAATTTTTTTTCTTTGTTACCTTTAAATAGAACATTTTTAACTTCAAATTTGGGCCATTTCAATGTAAAGCCGTTGATTATTGCTTCTGGATGAGATTGAATTTTGATGGACAGATCTTTTGATAATTGATTAGTTATCACCTTGTGTTCTATAAATATGACGGTTATATTCTAATATATAGATTAACTCATATCATTACACAGCTTCATTAACAGCAATCGAAGTGTTTTTTATTATAGAAGATGAACTTATGTTCGAACTGTTTCCAGTTGAAATTTCATTTTGTTGATGATCATTGTTCGCCGGCATATCTAAATTGTTTGAAATATCATTAGAATATTCATGACTTACCTTGGTAGCTGCTTCAGATGATGATAATGAATCTCTTCTGCTTAAACAAGATGATTCACTAAACAAAAAATATTTATTGTTTGGTAGTAGAATGATGTTTCTCTTGCTTGATTGAGATTTTCTCGCTTGGAACTTTAGATGATGATTCCGATTTGCCTGATGAAGAAGCAGTTGTAGTATTTTCAGATTCACTAAACGTAAAGATAAAATCTAATAGATTAGAATTCAAAAGAAATTACCTGTATTTTTTCATCACGGCATCTTGTTGAGATTGATCCTCTTTTTGTCGTGCACGTTTTGATGCGAATTTGTCAATCAGATGTGTGTATTTACCTCGACGTATTTTGTCGTGTATTCTCTTCTTCCATTGTTCTCCTATGCCTACTTTTTTTTTTCTTTTTCTTCCCTTTGAACTTTGTGTCAGTCCAAACTGATCAGCCTTTGATTGAACTTTTATGCTTCTATGTAACGCCATGATAACCTCTTGAGGTGGTTTACCTCTCTTTCCTTGACAGATACTTTTTTTGAATGTTCGGAAATAACTTTCAATAGCTGCATTGGAGTATCGGATAGGACAGTATGTTGTCGATGTATTTTGTTGCATGTCATTGGCATATCGTTCTTCGAAATTGAATAACAAACATGTCCATAGTGGCAAATATGCCCACCATCGATAGAATATACGAATTATCGACGCAGAAAACAGTGTATTCTTATTGCTGCTTTTTATTTTTTTTTAATTACTATCTCATTCAGCAATGGATAACGTTTGATAGCTTCTTTATTGAATGGTGATTGATGAATGATAGGTTCATTGGAATCAAAATATTCATCGACAAGCTTTAATACTTCTTCTTTCTTTTCAGCTGTTTTAAAAATATTATCAAAATCCTTTAAAACTGACTCACTTTCTTCATCAACGTTTAATTGAAGAGAACCTATTCGATCAAGCTTCTTTTTTGCGTTCTGTTCATTTGGATCGCCGAATATATCAATCACTAATCCCAATGTGTCATATAACTGATTGATATCATTGCTACATAACATATAAGCGAATATATATAACACAGCTTCTCGCGTTTTCTTTTCAATTTTTTCAGCATTCAGACTTCTTGCCACAGCATGCATAACATGACAACAGCACAAATGAATAAAAGATAATGATCGAATTATTTCAGCACTATATTTGCGATGTATAACATTCCAGCATCGTTTGAGATGTCCGTTAACAGTTTCAATATTGAATTGTTGAAGAGCGGCATTCATAAGAGCAGCAGAAAAATCGATAACGATAAATGAAGGTGGGCGTAGTTTTTTCTTTGTTGTCACTTGATTGACACTATGAATTACATTGCCAAGAAAATAACCGATACCAGGGACTGTATGATCTGTTAATATAGCGTGTGCTAGTGGAACATTATTATTTCCATCAATACCATCCTTGAACATTATTGTATAAATCAATAATTGATTTTGTTCTTTCATTGGTTTTAATACTCCACCAGTTGAATCTATATGAATAAAAGAATATTTTTCGTTCTCAACATACCTAATGTATCGTTGGAGTTGTGATTCGGTAAACAAATGTGATCGAAACGGTATTTCGCCCGAGTTGTGAATGTATCCTATAAAAAACAAGTAACAAAGCCTCTGAATAGATTCTTTTTGTTTAATAAGCTTGACTTACCTAAAATATTTTCAGATGTAATATCTTCTTTGCGATAAAAGCAACTTAAAATTCGACATTCTCTGAACACGTCTTCGTCGAAACGCATCCTCTTTCGATAATCTGCTCCACATTTCTTCACTGCTTCAATCGTCGGACATTCTGAGAAATTACCTGCTGCGAGCATTTTTTCATCAGCAGCTTCCACGAGCTCGCGAAATGTTGCTAGGGGACCTATCTCATTTGCTCGTTTGCCTAAAATGTATATTAATAATATTAATTTAAAGTTCTGAATTTTCATATCGAAACATCTTACCAATAACATCGCGTGGGTGGGTGTGGGTGTGGGTGTGGGTGTGGGTGTGGGTGTGGGTGTGGGTGTGGGTGTGGGTGTGGGTGT